ACTTCTTTTTAATGCCTTTTGGAAGTACAGTTACCATCAAAGTTGACTAGCTCCACAGATCAGACTTTTTCTTAAAAGACTACCTGTCCCTTAGACGAAATTTCAGGTTTTCACGGCGTTCTGATAGAAGTTTATCGACGTTTCAGAAGTGATTACTGTATCCAACATGAGGGCTATTAGGGGGCGACGATAAATAGCCCTGATTATGGAGGCAGCAAGCACCTCTGAAACGTCAGTTAATTTCTACCAGGCTACAAGTCGGAACAACCCAGAAGACTGTAATCTTAGTGAAGGGTTGGTTTTTCTTCTGACGTAGAAGTGACGGCGTAGAGAGGATTTGTGCTCAGAGATTCATTATAATATCATACATGTATTATCAAATATTTAACAGTCATGCCCGTTCTCGCGTTGCGGCGTTATTGAAAGAACTTGTTCGCCTGAAAAGATGTGTTTTATGAATTAACTGTATACAGGAATAGTGTGAGGTGATTATTCAGCGCGTTACTCGTTGTTGATATAGGCCTACTCACAGCTGCAGTGTGAATGAAGAATGTTTTGTTAGCAGACACGGTCTGTATTTTCCTTGAGGGTATTTGAGAACAAACTGTTAAGGAGATTATTTAGACACAAGAAGGAGGGCGTGACAGGAGGGTGGATTAATGTACAGGGCGTTCTCTGATAAATTTGAACGCAACTGTCACTTCTTGGCTCCCGGCTGGAACTGCATGACTCAGCGCCAAGTGCTACAAGGTTTCCTTCAAACGAGTCAGATACCGCTCTGTTAAAAAATAAAAATTATATAATAATTTCTACCGGGAGCCGAGATGTGATAGTTGCCTTCAATTTTATTAGAGAACGTCCTGTATATAACAAGGAGTTTGATTTTTGCTGTTCATTAAATATCATTACAAGACCAAGAGAAGAGGTCGGTTGCTTTGTTTAGATTTTTGTCGTTTCTTCTGTCTTACCAGACAGATGCTGGGATAGTACCCTTAAATAGGTCACGACGACAACTTTTTTGAACTTTTTTCAGTTTTGTATCAACTCTTCGAAATTGAAACCCACATAAATTTAGTTTGAGCATTCGGTCCTCACCTCAAAGAAAACACTTCTCTTCTCCACTACAGAAATCAGTTGGTTAATGCTGCATAAGAAAATTGTCGCTGTTTATTCTGAGAATCGTACAAAACCCACGAAAACACCGTATGGATAAAATGCAGACGTAATTATTTTTAATCCAGGTGGTACATATAGTTACCACTGGGTTTCAGATTATTAAAAATTATCTCACCGCTTTTTGCACGAAATTTGTAAACTGAAGACATAAAGGAGAGAGTGTCATCGTGTTCCATCATCGAAACTGTCAAAAAAGAACCCTCCTGTAACACCGAAACTGAGAGATGAATTAAGATTAAATGATTTCAGTATATGAACCGGGTTGAACTCTCGTTCACAACAGTTTATGGTTGGTGTTGAACTTCCAGATTCAAATATCCGATATTTAGTGTTTGAGAAGCAAATATTTAATTATTTCCTCTTTGCTAATTCATTATTACGTCTGTATTAAAATACGTAATTGATGTGGTGGGCGTTTTGGAATGTTCTGTGAATCTTGTAATGGTTTAACATCCAGATATATTCAGCGCCAGACGTCAATTAGCGCAGATAATTAATCCCATAATTAGTGAATGGTTAGAGCAACGCCTAAAAATATCTTTTCACCAAACGTTTGTCATTGTTTGTGCAGCTTTTATGATTGATGGACAGACTTCATGAATATAATTATTACTAGCCCGTTTAACAGCGTTAGCCGGGGTAACACCCTTTCTGACCGTAGCTATTCAATCACTTATGTCGACTCTTTGTTAACACTTAATACAGACATTGAATTCCAGACCGGTAAGTACAATCGAACGTTTGATATTACATTCCCAGTACATTTTGACCCATCATTCTCCTTGGTTTGGCCTTTAGTAATTGAATGACTGTGAAGGGAAGAAACTTACCCACACCCTCTTAACTCTCGAGAAGCCTGCTGGGATGAACAGCAAAAACGTTTCAACAGCTGATGTTCCATACCAATTGAACATGACAGTGGAGTGGCAGAAGTTTCGTTGTCTTCAGTGAAAGTTGGGTGTTTCCTTCTGAATCTTAAACCATTAGGCAGGTATTCCATTTGTTCTGAATGGCTTTGATGGTCAGATAGGAATTTAATGGGCGTTAGTAATTGTTACTTTGGGACTGGAAGTACGGAAAAGCGACACCTTTGAAGAAACTTGCATTGTAACTAATGTTTTACGAACCGATACCAAGTAATCACTCCAGTGTAGCCCAAGGCTTCGTCTGATGTTAAATTCTGTGACATCTTAATTCTTACTGAAATATGTTAAATTTTAATGAACGTCATATTTAGGAACAGCGCTCTTTAATTACCTTATCCTACTTTAAAGTACAGCCACGGTGGTCTAGCGGATAGAACGCTGGCCTTGTAATCCTGGGGTCTCGGGTTCGATTCCCGGCGGTGCCCGAATTTATAACTTGTGTTGGGCAAGGCCGTGGTCTAGGCAACACGGAGTTTTCCTCAGGGGGCTTCCCCGGTTTCTCCGTGGCATCCCAACAATTACTCCATTCACACACAGAAGAAGGCAATGGCAAACCACTTCTGGATCATCTACCAAGAACGTATATGAACAGGTCCCAGTCCGAGAAAAGGATGGAAGGATCCTGTTCATATGGACCTGTCGTCAGACAGAACACTAAATAATAATAATAACTTTAAAGTATGATACCAACATTTGTGACCATTCATTTCCAACTCATTATGAAGATGGCTGTCTTCTGAGTTGTTACGCCATATAGTCTGGTGAAAATTTACAGACGTTTCAGAGGTGCTTGCTGCCTCAGTCATCGGGGCGATAAAATTATTCCTGTCGTTTGTTGCAGGTGTAAGGAACCGCGGATGACTGTAGTCTCGATGGCTTCTGCGTTCCGAGCTACTCCGGGTCGGAGTCGGCGCACCGTCAACAGCTGGGGACCCATGTCCCTGCCGTCCGAAATAAACCGGCCCGTGTCAGGGCCATCCCAGAGTCAGCACATGCCCGAAACAGAGGAAGAGTACGTGGAATACTACCAGGATCGCATCTACTCTTCACAGAGCCGTCAGCTGTACCCGCTCCAAGAAGACCTCGCAGACTGGATCAACAAGACAGTGGGTAAGTAATTCTTTAATGTGTCGGCAGCAAACAGGCCTTTGTTCTTAGAATTCGTATAATTGATGTCCCTGGATACATTAGTAACAGCTGTGAGCTGAATTTGGTATAAAAATTACTACCTAGCCTAAGCATCGAGCCTGAAACACTTTATTACTTTTGCGTCAAGACATGAATTAATATAAACTATAAATAAGTTGAGTTTTAAGCAGTACAGATAAGTTGTTTGATTGGTGGGCATTGCGAATGCTCAAAATCTCAAAATTGCACATTTCCAGAAAGTCAGTTGTGGAAATACATTTTTTAATTTGAAGACATGGAGCATATAAAATAAATGTTCTTGAATGCGTCCAAAACTCTTGTTTTGTCGGAGCTCTCGCAACACACAGTGCTCAGAATATTATATTAGTGGGCGTCCTGGTATGTTCCCCTTCTCACGCCATTTTTCTCTAGGCGTAGTAAGTTATAGTTGCCTACCGTTTCGCAATTTGATTGTACTTGCTGTAATTAGAACAAAAGAAGGCAGTTATGCAACCAGACAAACAACTTTTAATACGCGATATACGACGAAGACCTGTTACACCAAGTACATTCTTGTTTATTATGGTCTATTTGAGTTGAGTTTGTTTCCCCATGTAGTCTTGTAGATGGTCACCACACTTTGGAGTAAAGTATTGCCTCCACCTTCAGGGTAGAAGTTAATAACTGAAGGAAGTTTTATTATAGAAGATGACTATTCCTGTGATGTTTTCGCTGTGTAGTCTCTTAGAAATTGACAGACTTTTTCGGAGGTGATTACTGCCTCCATCATCAGGGTCATGAGTAATATGTTTCGGCAGAATAAACTGGATGCGCCTACAGCGAACGTGGTCGGTGCCAAGCTCTCGGTTGGGCGCGGGACCGTGGTAGAACGCCCCTCTGCATAACGGACAGTGGCGTAATGTTGGTTCAGGCCATCTGGGGCTCTGTACCGGAACGGCTGGTTGCATCGGTGCTCAGGTGAGGCGCCCCCACAGGGTACCTGTTCGTGAGCAAACAGCGTGGTAGTATACATGCGAAGTGCGGCGGATTTGAATGTCGAACCGAAGAAATTGTATTGTCAGAGCTGGTTAATATCTTGTCATAAAACCAATTATTTAGACAGGGTACTTCCATATATCGCACTTTGAAATGTATTTGCAAAGTTTATAAATGCTGATAAAATATTTATTTACTTGTAATAAGGGTAAGAACTGAACAGGAAAAAATAATATTGCTTATTTCGATCTGTACAAACCTTGAATATGACTGTCTTATATGATATCTCGCCGCCCTGTTGATGGAGGCAGTAAACACACTGAAACGTCGGATAGTTTATTCCCAACTACATGTCGCAACAACCCAGAAGACCAGCTGTATTCATATTCACCTCCATGTAAACCTCAGATATCTCAGATTAAATCGTCCAGGCCTCAGAAGGATCTGCACAGCCCCCAAGGAATTTTGGGGCCCAAGTGCTAGGAGACTTTCGAAGACTTAAGCCCCTTCTGTGCACCCCCAGGTAATGCCCTCGTCCACCTTGCCTATCAGGCCTGGACACCTCTGTCATTCAACAGTTCTGTTGGGAGCATTAGTGCAACAGTGGTCATTAGTGCAATAATTATCTCTCACGAACGTCGGTGTACCCCAAAGAGTACGCCTTTAAAGTGTATTGTTCTAACATCACGTCTAAATCTTCCAACTGGTCCTTTGTTTCAGGTATTTCGAGTAAGACTGTTGTAATGTTTGCAGTTCTCATCTCTCAGATTTTAAGGATGAGCTTAATTTTAAGTGAACGTGTAGGATTCTGTTTCGGTCGTTTGCAGATTTGGTCAAATCGCTTCTGTTTACGATAATCCAGTCAGGTTTGCTACAGTACGTAGTGTTTAGGGCTTAAAGCTTTCTGGATATCTTTTAGGAAATAGGAGGAATTTTATTATTCGAGTGAGACATCCCAAAACAACCCTCTTCAGTATTTTCAGGTAATGGTGAATGCTGCCCCTAGAAAGATAAAAATCAGTTCTTTCTTATTACTTTTTAGTAGTTTCCGTTTGACGAGGTTTATTTTCAGGTAAGACAATTCCACCGAAGGATTCTTCTCCTTCTTCTTCTTCTTCTTCTTCTTCCGTCTCTGCAGTAGATCGATACATTTCGTCTCGAGCTTTGCATCCGTACAACCGGAAGTGGTGTGAAAAAATCGCTCGTGATTATAAAAGGTCGTTCTCTTCGGCACATATTAGGAAGGTGAAATCAATGACGATGATATGAACATTCCGACAGTCTACTTTCTAAAACCTTGGAGTCCAAATATGGCTTAATTATTCATTCTTCCTTGGTACTGTGAGGAATCTCTTATGGAATTTTCCAGCCAAAAGAATACGTTATTATTAATTGTGCGAATGAACAAATTATATTCATTTGAACTCCAGCTGTGTGGTTCTTTTCTTTTCGGATCCCAACTAACGAGATGTGTGTCTTTCCATCTGTCCTCTCATTCGGTTACAAACACCACTGTTGCAGAATTTAATTAACTATAGATTTGAGGTTTTCACAGCAGTGAGGATTTCCTATGATAATTTTCTGGGTTTTGTCATCGTGTAAACTCGTCGGTAGAGAAAGATTCTGTCTCCGTCTTCAGGGCTGAAGGTGGAGACATTGTATTTCTCAGAAACGCTGGCCTTTACACGGCGCTAAAACCCACAAGATCATCGTCATCATCATTAATCAACACATTTTGTTAAACTCGATATGAACATCGTACCATTGGATTTGTTGTCTTCTTTGAACTTCGAGGCTTGGAGTTTTGTACGGAGACTCGTCTTTGAAACATGTATAACTTTTATTCAAACATTCTTTCACGAAAATTGAAAGAACATGGCGTGTGTAGGTAACTGAGAATTCACTGTTACTTTATATTTATTATTGTAATATGTAACAAAGACATATTAATAGGTCCAACTGTCAATGACAAATGGTTTTAATACTTATTTTATTTTCTCTCTATATTTTTTATCTGAGGCCTTGTCAGAAGAATATTGTGTTATTAAGTTATTTAAGCTTTGTTGTTAAGTGTGTTTAATTGCAGATTGCTTGCACTTCAAAAGAATTTGCTACCAAGGAGAGCTTTCTGCTCTTAGTAATTAAAATGCAGTTACAAAGACGGATTTCCTTGTTTTGTGTTTGATGTCCTTGAGCGTACGCACATTCTTGAACCATGTCCAGATACAACTTCAGACTACAATTTAACCTAATGCTTACATTCTATTTTTAGAATTTATATAACATAATAGAGGTGACAAATATATTGCAGTCAAGAAAACTCAAAAAACACTTTTTTATATAACTGCGAAAAAAATTAATGTTGCCTGTCTTGCATAACGTACTCAGTCAGAGTTCAAAACCAATGAATTTTCAAAAAATGTATATAATTTTAATAATTTATTGTTTGATTCATGTATTATTTAACTTCGTTGCATAAACTGCTTGAATTTCGTAGCGTTAAAATAATATTAACCGGAATTTGCGTTAAGTGATCAACGGAAGCTAAAGCCCTCGACGTCGGAGCATTGAAGCAGTAATCTCCTCTGGAACGTCGGTCAGTACACGGTTCTACACTCCAAAAGGCAGCCATCTTGTTGTTCGTCGCTGTGAGAACAGTAAATCTCACAATAGTAGTTTTTGAAGGTACACCGACCCTTCCAGTTCCGCAAACCTGCACGGTTAAGTGCCATTCAGTTTCTCGTCTGTTACACATAAACACGAACAAAAGGTTCGCTTTGACCAGCCAATTATCTGTTATTCTGGAAGTAAAACAGACTGTTAACCATTTGCGTCTTCTCCGTGGACGTCTTTCAACACGCTTTAGGGGTTTTGGTACGCGTTTACCCCAGGTATCTTGGCCTTGGATGTGTTCCATGTGTTGTCGTGTCTGAGGAGACTTGTTACGTGACGTGTTTTTGCAGCAGCGGCTTATGGGGGAGCTCGGGAGTTCCCGAAGTGGGAGGAGCAACATGGTTGCATGAATAATTCAGCTACCAGCTCTGCTTTATCGCTACCCACTACACCCCATTTCTGCTTCTGTTGAAGATAGATACGGAATAAAGTAAAGTGTGAATGAATTCACGTTGCTCTATTGGCCTGTGACGACGTGTAGACTCGTAGGTAGACTAACGTTTCAGAGAAATAAATTGCCCCCATCTACGAGTCTAGCGGTTAGAACGCTGGCCTTGTAATCCTGGGGTCTCGGGTTCGATTCCCGGCGGTGCCCGAATTTATAACTTGTGTTGGGCAAGGCCGTGGTCTAGGCAACACGGAGTTTTCCTCCGGGGCTACAAGGCATCACAACCCAGAAGAATATAGTTATTCTCACAGCTGCGAGTACCTCAAATCTTACATAAAGCATATGTTAGTGTTTTTGAAATCGGATTTAAAAGTTATATTGTGAATATTGAACTCTTTTTTATCTGAACGGTTACTTCGAAAGAAACTCTACACGGGTAGATAAGTAGCCCATATTGCTACTTTCTGTTCTCGAAAATCGTATCCGATACAAGAGACTCCCGGTCATTTGTGGTCGGATTAACCGAGGTTCGTCTGGTTTAAACGAAAATTAAAAATTTATTTAGAATACATGCTGTAAAATCTAGAACGCTAAAAAAGAAATACATACAACAATAACATTCTTTAACGTATAAACATGAATCAGTTGTTTCTAAAACCTGAAGTTTGCGATAATAGGACGTTGTTACTATCCGTTGGACTCCTTGTTTAAAACTTTGTATATCCTGTATTAAATTGTAAATAAAATCCTTTCTCTTAAAAGAAAATCTTTAAAAATGTATATAGTGCATGTCTGTAAATAACTTACGTATTTGTTACATTTTCGTGACTTTTTTTTAGTATTATCCGGGGGGAAATATATTTCCGTACGAACCCAGATAATCGGCAGTCAACTGCATTTGACTGTGGGTGTGTTAAAGAATTTG